CGGGGCCGGGTGGCCGCCCAGGATGGCGGTGGGTGGCGCGCACGCTCCAGGGCCGCCCGCAGGACGAGCGACTCTCTTGCGACATTCTTGCTGGCAACCTGGAAGTTTTCTCGGGCTACAACTTTTGCAAATGTCCTGGGAAAAACACCCTGGCCGCGCTGAGCTAAGCTTGGCAGGACACCCAGAGTAACCCGAGGGAAAAATGTTTGCTATCTTGCTCTTCTCTCTTTGGGTAGGCAGCTGGTCGCTATTAGGCCCCACCGAAAGCCTCCAGCGATGCTAGAAATCCGCCCCTCACCCCCCACCCCCCATCCCAAGCCCCGCCAGGCGAGTGCGCTCTCCTGCAAGCCGCACAGACCTTCAGGGAACTATTCGGAAAAAAAAGTAAGGCATGGTGAAGGAAGACTTTAGTTGTTGAGCAAGCCACAAATAGTACTAGGGTGGCTCTCTAACCGGAAAGAAAAGTCAATAAAAACTGTTGTTTCCTTCACATTTGTAAAGAAAAGAAGGTTCTTCTGGCGCGGGGCTTGCTTCGCCGGGGTGGGGAAAACGATCTTCAGGGTGTGTTCCCACCAAACCCTCGCTGCCCGCCGTGCCCGGCCGAGGAGGGACAGCTGGACACCTGCATTCCTCTGGCCCAGGGCTCAAGGAGCGTCCGGCAGGGGCGACGCGGTCACCCAGATCTCCTCACCTGGGAGAGGACAAAGGGAGAAGCGGGCGGGACGCCGCGGGGTCCTCATCGCGTTGGAGGGCTATAGGGGCCGGGAATGGCCGCTGAGGCTTCCCGCAACTGGCCATGGTCCACTTTGCTGCACTGCGGTTTGGGCCGTCTGGGCTTGGCCGACCCCGCTCCACGTGCGGCCTTGGGGTACACTGCCTCCTCTCTGCGAAGCCGCCGACGGTGCTGGGATCCTCCGAGCCTTCTCACCTTGGGTCTTCTTGTGCGTGGTCCTCCCGGGGACCGCACAGTAGCCAGGACTGACACGCGAGGACGGACCCGGGGCCCAAAGCATCGTGCGGTGCCAGCGGTTAGCCTAACTCCAACAGGCTTCTGAGACGAAGTCAGGGCTGTGTATTGGTGTTCGCTGCACTCCCATTAGGGGTCGGGACACTACGCCACCAGGCCCGCATTTCCCCATGCCCAGGGCCCGCCAACGAAATAAATATCTTGTTGGAGACGAACGGGCCGCATGAGAGCCCCAATACTAAGAGTACTTTTCATGCCGCGTCCTCGGACGTCCCCCTTTTCTACAACAAAGCCTCAACCAGGAACAGTAAGCCGTGACGGCACAGCTAGTCCCTCGCAGTCTGGCTCATGAAGAGGGGGTCCGGGTGCTCTGCAAGCCGGGAAAGGCAGGGAACTTAGTATTTTGCTCCGAGGCCCGGCACACCTACACCTTTCCGCGCCAGGTCCAGGGATCCATTATCTGCGAAGCCGGGGACGGGAAGGAGCCCCTTCCAGCATGCACGTCACGGGCCAGGGACTCAATGGCGCACACCCGCGCAGGCACCTGTCCGCACTGTCGAAGTGGGTCTGGTCCCTTGGCGAGTTTCCTCTCGGGCTACTTTGAGCTTTTCGACCCCTGCTATCGGTGGTTGGGCGGGGACGAAGCAGGATAAAAGGCATTCGCATTTGCCAAATTTGTATGCTATTTTAACAAAAAGGCAAGAGAAGCCAATTCACATCTGCACAGCTGTTACAGAAGAGAAACTTTTCTCAAGGATGTCCCATTGGCCAATAAACCACTGTTGGGGGAGAGAGAGAGAGTAGTAGCGTAGTGTTAAGAGCTCTGACTCTGAAAATCTGAAGGCAGGTTTCTAGTTGCCACTTTCTGGTTGGTGACCTTGGCCAGCAAGTTACTCGACCGCTTTGTGTCTGTTTCCCAATTTATAAAAAGGGGTTATAGCAGTGCTCACCTTGTAGAGTACTTGTGGGCTTAAAAGAGGTACCATATTCAAAGTCATATGGGCAGTGCAGGCTAACTGTAGGCCCTCCCTTGACTGTTCCAAGTCCTGGCTCTGGGCCTCACCTCCATTTGTGAAAACCCGCCAGGATTCCAGCCCTCCCGGGCAAGTTTGGAGAGAGACTTTTACGAAGTGCTGTTTAGCCTCTCTCCCTGTGCACTCGGGGCTCCTGAAAAACTTATTCTTAATGAAGTAATGTTCGAAGCGTCCATTAAAAATGCAACGCCGGGAGATCAAAGTACAATATTTATTTTAGAAATTTGTTGCAATCACCAAGAGATACAGGTATCAAGGCCAAATGTCAGTTCCGTTACACAAAGCCTCGCGCCCGGGAAGAGCGTGTGGCTGCTTTGCCATAATGTAAAGAGACATCAAAGACCAAGCGCGCTGTAAAAGTGCGCAGCCGGGAGGAGGGAGTGAGCCCGGGAGGGCCCAGCGAGCCCCAGACGGCGCGGGGGCTGCGGGGGCGGGGGTCAGTTCAAAGAGGTATCCGCTGGGGCGCAAGTTCACAGGAGGGAAGATTTAATGGGCTTTCTTTTGTTGGTGGGTGTGTTTGTGCACCGAGGACCCAGGAACTCCTCTGTGGTCCTCCAGCCCGAGGGCGGAGGCGGGGGCGGGGGTGGGAAGCGGCGAATGGGGAGAAAACTTTAACCGCGGCTGGGGGTGGGTACGTTGAATACCAGCCTCCCTGCGGCGACTAGCGCAGCGGAGGCGCTCTCCTAGCAGCTCTCCAAGCAGCAGGGTTCCGAGGCTGGGAAGTTTGCCTCGCGGTTTCTTCGCGGGCAGGCGGCGAGCGCTGAACGGGTGCCACCTGCGAGGAGAGGCGGGTAGGTGAACCCGCACAGGCATTCGCCGGATGGACGGACCTGCTGTGGGAGCTCCGGCATCCAGTACAGGAAAAGTGTTTACTGAGAGCTCTGGGGATGCTACTTCGCGCCGAGCCTAGTACCTCGCCTCGGGCGTTTTCTTGCAGCAACCGGGAACCTACACCCCTGGGATGAAGCCAACCGGCCCCTCGTCTTCAGCTGGTTTTTTAAAAAGTCTGTACACTATTTAGGTCATTTCAACAAATTCTTAATTTATTGGCTCTTTACAGCAGGGCGTTGCTTGACAGCCCACTCTCTCTCGACCCTCTTTGCCAAAGCCTCGACCTTCCTAGATCCTGCATCAGCCTAGTTAATACAGTACCAGTCTTTGCTTTATTAACGGTGCTGAGAGGGGAGGGGGCAGAATTTCCCTCATGCTTGTAGAGCAGAGTCGCAGGATGCCTGTGCGTTTCTTTGGTCATCTGCAACCAAGTATTCTTAGAGCAGTCACTTGGGAGCCTTCTGAAGTTGTGTTCAAGCCGAAAGCTGCTATTGTTTTCAGCTCTCAACAGGGAAGGGATCAAACTTTGCCTCTTCAATTTGAAAAAAAATAGTTTTTTAATGGTGGTGGGTGGGTAGGGGGTTTGCAATCTGACACACTCTAAGTTAACTTTGAGGATTTGGAGCTGTCTCGCAGTTTAAGCTGCAGACCAAATCACAGATGCCTGAACACTTGCTTCTGAAACAGGGCCTGGATCATTATTACAGCCAAGAGTATTCAGTTGCAAGAAATTACAATGCTGGGAATCTTTGGAAAACACTGACTTGGTTTTGGAAAGTTTCTTCAGCTGGAAACTTTGAGTTAACTTTATGAACGAGTGGAATTCTAAATCGGGGGGGGGGGCTAATTTATTTTATCCGATTGGACTCCCCCATTTCATGGGAGGAAGAAACAATGTTGGCATATATGTGTCATGCCTGTACAGTGCTATGAACTGCAGTAGCTGTTCAATAGATGTTCATTGCTGTTGGGTGATAGAATGGAATTTTGTGGACCAACGTCTTCTGCATGATGATTGGTGCTACAGAACACACAAATGCAGTAGGGACTCAGGAGACCGCTGGTGAGGGCTGGAGTAGTTAAGGGAGGTCAACAGGGATCTTGGGGTTTGGAGGGGCCTATAAGGATGTATGGAATTTTAATTGGATGTATAGAAAGGAAGGCAATGGAGAGGGGAGAGTACAGCAAGGAAAGAGAACTCTCTTTTAGGCAGGAGCTGAGTAACCATGGAAGAGGCAGTTTTGTATCCTTGATTTGCTGATGTAGACAGGGTGGGGCCAGATTAGAGAAGTCAGGGAGAAGAGTCTGGCCTGGTTGCTGTATGCAGTAGGACTTTATTATAGGCTTCTGGGCAGGTGAATTACATAAATTCAATTCATTTCTTAAATGTTTTTCCTTAGGAGGAGGGTTGGCTTGCTGAGGGCCTGGAAGGACAAACGCATATGCAGTTATCCAGGGGTGAGATGGAAAAGGCTTTGTCTGGAAGCTGGTGTGGTAGTGAAAGGGTGACAGACATTTTAAAGGGAAAAAGAGCAAAACTTGGTGACAGGTTGGAAAAAGAGATAAAACAAAGGGAAAAATAAAAAGGATCCCTCTTTTGACAAATGGTGCTGGGACAACTGGATATTCACATGTAAAGGAATGATGTTAGACATTTTCCTTACACCATACATAAAGTTAACTCTAAATGGATCATAGATCTAAATGTAAGAGTTAAACTATAAACTTATAGAAAAAAACATAAGTGTAAGGACTCATGACTTGAGGTTAGGCCAAGCCTTCCTAGATATACCAAAAGCACAAGTGGCAAAAGAGAAAAAATAGAAAGTGGAAAAGCCCATAGAATGAGAAAATATTTGCAGATTATGTATCTAATAAGAGATTTGTATCCATAATGTATAAAGAACTCTTGCAACTCAACAACAAATAACCCAACTGAAAAGTAGGCAAAGGATTTGAATAGACATTCTCTGAAGGA